CCAAGAGAACCACAAATTGTCGGCTGACTTCCGAGCCTCTCAAGTCATACATGTGCAATACGGAGCAAGTTGTCATGACCGAATAAACGCATCATAATCGTAATACTTTTCCCCTCGTGCTCAATGCCCCGCGGGTCAGGTTACATTCGACTTGATCCATGGTATTATCAACCCCATCGCCTCACCACTTGGCAGCTCAATGTCTGGCTGCGATTCGCAAATCGGCATCTGTTTACCGCTGACGTGCAGCCAGCTGTGGCTCCCGAATGCCACTACACCGACCCAAATGGATCTAGGCACATTAAAGCATGCATATAAGCTGACGAGCATAGCTGTCGTGGTCAAGGATCGTCCGCGAAGAGCAAAAATCTCCGCCGCCGTAGTCGACAAAAGATGGAATCCAAGACTGGCAAGAATCAGCGACGGACAGACGACATACGGTATAAAATCCCGGCAGTCAAGATGAAATCCAAAGCAACCACATTCAACAATTCGTTTAGTCCAGCAATTTGCTTACACCAAGATGCAATTCGGTACATTCTTCTGTGGCATGCTGCCTCTGCTGGCCAGCGTCCTAGCCACTCCCATCGACGTCCGAGAGACCACAGACTTGGAGATCCTCACGACAGACGTCACGCCTTCGTCGCCGCTGCTGAAGCGCGATTCGTGCCAGACGCTTGACTCGGTGCTGGACCGCATCGGCACGAGCAGCGAGGTGGTTGTGTACGCCAGCACGGGAGGCCTCACGGCGCTGTACGTGTGCAGGCGTAGCCACGGCCACAACTGCGACGAGCTGGCCGCCGCCATTGCCGGAGCCATTGCCAGCGTCTTCCTCATCCTCAAGCGCACGGGGGCCATCTCTGCAAGGGACGGCCAGTCCGCCGAGTCGCTGGTGGACTTTCTCCGTCGGGAGTTTGGCGAGGACGGCGCGACATTCGACTCGATCGAGGACGCGACGCCGCACATTCTCGCGCGGTACGAGTCCGGAGAGCGCAGGCCCGTCGAGGTGGCTAGCATCCAGGGCTTGACGTCGGGCAACAACACCCTCAACATGGACGTCTACGACTTTGGAAACGGCGACGGCCACATCTACCTGCCTCACGATGTCCTGACCAAGCGCAGCGGTGGCGACGACGACCTGGCCTCTCGGTTTGAGAAGCGTGCCAGCGCCCCGGGCTTCAAGGTCTCGTACACCACCCGCATCAAGTCCAAGCTCACCAGGGCCCATCAGATCAGCATGTCGCAGACGCTCGCTCACTGGTGGGCGAACAGGGCGAATTGTTGCAACATGCACGACATGATTGGCTTCGTCGAGACCGGCCACGCTGCAAACTTTTACTATAGGATCATTCCGGAAACCGTCAACTTTGGCCTCAATTACGAGACGGTCGATTCTTGCGGACAGATGGCTCGTTTCCTGTAGGTAAAACGACGGCATGTTTCTGCAGGGGCGCTCAGAGGATACGGGTATATCAAAAGTGGGCAGAAGGCCAATGCCGCCAGAGAACCAGTTTGTTTGGCTAGTTAGAGAGGACCTGTCATTTATTCAATCCCATATACCTCGATTACCTCGATGTACTCTGATCAGTCAGGCTGGTTGGTGTGTGTGCACTCGCGCGGGCTAATGGTCCGAGTAAGACAACGTAGGCATGAAGAAATGTGAGCGACTCGTTTCCCAAGTTAGAGGTACCAACGGAGAACTTCCTACTCCAGTGCCTGTCCCAACGACGGCTATTTTCACGTTGCAGCAATGATCTGTATTTCCTTCGCACTGGCAATTGTCGGCCGTCGCTTCACATCACTTGCTACCCTTGGCATCAGCAGGTACGGCAGCCTCTGGGGCCGCGCGCGCCGCATCACCATCGGCCCAGCGCTCTGTTTCCGGCGGTTGAAACGACCACAGCCAGGTGACGAAACAGGTGAGCATTTCAGCAGCCCATAGAAACAGGAGCTTGCGGTACTGCGGGTGAAGCGAGCCCACTTGCATCGCTCTCGTCATGAGAAGCGCGGCATTGAGAACCAGGGCACAAAGCCATAATTCTTGGACGAGTTAGCACAACCGCGCCTCCAAATGACGAAGAAGAGGATTGAGCCCTACTAGTCCGTCTTGCAGACGCTCCAGATTCCCAAGCGACGCGTAGAAACAAGCATAGTAATAGTAGGGACACGGCCGTGGTGACTGTGACATGAGGATCAGCCAGGGCGCAAAAAGTGTGTGGAATGGGATTTATACGTTGGTCCAGCATTGTCATTGTTTAAGAGCACTTGACATAAATCACCTTGACTCGAGGCATTTCTCGGGGAGTGGATGAATTCAACTGCCTCCCACCTGCTACTTAAGTACTTCCAGTCCTTTGACAGCTGCAAATGAGGTATTGATGTAATAAGAGTGGGGAATGTATGTATCGGGGGACTTGTAGACTAGGATAAGCTTATCCACCCCGCTTTGCAAAGCAAGAGGAGTTGGTGATTTCACATAAACGAAGTGCACAGCTTGTCGGGGTGCGGCTCTACGACCATCATCTCACCATCCCCAGGTTGAACCCCAACTGGCAACAACTGATAGCTTTCATAATCATACACATCATTTGCGCATCAAGGCGATGAAGGGTATCACTGTACACAATACTCTGCATCATCACAATTAACCACCTCACAATCAGAACAACCGAACCAAGATTAAAATGCCATTCTCGAAATGGATATGCCTATCAAAACTCCATCGAGGGATTCAGACGGCAGGGCACATGGGTGCAATCGATTGATTCCCTCTCAGTTGAATCCATAAGGCACCTAGTAGGCACACTTCCCAGAATAGCCGCATTCCTCGTCGCAGGCAGTGTCGTCCTCGCTGCTGGTTTCCTTCGCCGTGTGCACATCCAAGGAGGCTGCTCTCTCGTCTTGCCCTGCATCCTCACCATCGCTGAGCCACTTTGCCCAGCTTTGCCTCACCGGACCGGAGAGAACACTCCCTGCCTCAGGCGCTCGTTTTCGGATCTCGAGTCCACCTCCAGCCGGTCGGACAATCTCGAGCTGACTATCTCCGTAGTCGCCCGCCGTGTCAATAATGTGGCCCAGGAGATGAAAGAAGCCCCTCAGCAAGGATTGATTCTGTGCCTCCCAATCCTTCAACTTGTCTCTCACATTCTGAATCTGCACATTTGCAAAATGGCCTCGGTCGTGGAACGCAAGAATGAAGTTGGGGATCTGGGCAATCCACAGGCGTGGCATTTCCTCTGCCAGGATATCCTCGTCTTGTCGTTTGACTGAGCGCGTCTTCAAGTCAAACAACTGCTCCTGTTTTACTTCTTCTCCTGCGTTCCCCACGTGGAGAATGGTCTCGGAATCGTCAGAGCTCGTCGCTTTGCCCGCGCGGTCTACCTGGAGGCCGCCGAGTAGATCCAGCAGGTCAGCCTTATTACTCGTCTTTAGTGGTGTCTTGTCCGATTTGATGTAGCCGTCGCCCTCGTATCGCACCATCATGTCGAGACCACAAAACTGATATCCGAGGATACGCTGATGCGAAATGGATCTTTTCACGTCTGCCTCCCAAGTAGTATACGCTTCTGGGAACGTGTGGCCGTAGCCTCTCACGCCAAGGATCTGCTCCTTTGGTGTATTTTCCCTACGGATAAGATGAACAGTCCCGGCCATAACTTCAACAAGCATCCGGAACGGCCTATCGTCTCCCTGTAGGAACCCAAGCAATTTTCTCAGTGTGCTCCCGCACGCAAACACGTCTACGTGTCGTGGCGTACTATGCATCTGCATAACCGACACGATGGCTGGCTCAATTGGATGCTTAGGGTACGATGCTGCGTTGCGATCTCGATAGAAGATGCCTTTGTCCTCCTGAAGCTGGCGGCGTATAAGAGGAGGAGTCCACAACGGTGGCTTGCCTGGTCGGGAGGGCAGTCGGGAGGTTAACAAGCACAGCGAGTCACGCAGACATGCGCACCTGGAATGATGATTTTGGGAAAGCACTCATCAAGCCAGTTATACGATGCGATGAATTCTGTGCCGGAAATACCAATGCCGGCCATCTCTGGGGAAGCTTTCTTGTCAAGCATGTCCTCCGGAGAAATGGTCTCGATGTGATCCCCAACCGGAGGATCAGGTGAAGGGACAAGTTCCGGCATTTGCCTGGACCAACTATAGCGAGAAGAGTCTCCCCAAGGGGTTCTCCCGCTTCGAAAATAAGGTCGCGGCATCTGGATGACGGTTTTTGCTGTGTAGGACCTCTCAGTTCTACCTTGCACACCAAATGTGTGAGATTTGACAACAAATCTCGAGTAGATCAAACGATGCCAAATCAAGACGTAGGCTAACCTTTTAGGCAATCACAGCAACTGATGAAATGCGGGGGACATTCTGTCTCATGTGATGCAGTGATGTTGGAGATTCACAGATGGTATATAATGAGTCAGACGCATGAGGCAAACGGAGGACACCCACCATGTGAATTGCTCGGCGGGCTCACTCTTTTTGCTAGGTGCGCTCACCCCCCTTAGTAGGTAAGTATTTATTGTGTCTAAACTCTCCCTATATTCCTAAGAGACAATTTATAGTAAAATATATTTACCTACGATAAAATATACAGTAATATATTATAATATAGCCTGATATCTAGGTATCTGGTAGTGCGTGAGTGCACCTAGCAAAAAGAGTGAGCCCGCCGAGCAATTCATCCCACCATAATCGAGCTGGCCAACACCGTTTGCAGAATGTTGGTCTGACATCCACACCGTATTCACAATGTACCAGGCTGCCAATAGGTTGACCTATGAAACCTCTGCTGCTCCAAGCCTTGTCCCGCCGTTGTGTGACACAAACGTCGACATCTCGGGCACCTAACACCCAACTTCGACAAACATTTAAGACGGAGCCACTGACTGCTCAATCATAAATCATGCAACCGTTCCTTCACCTGTGTGACAATTCTCTTTGACAATTCTACTTTCTACTTCACAAGCCTTGCTCTTGTCAATCTTCTCCTCAAAATGGCATCAGGGGAGTTGGCGACTGGGAGAGCCAAAAAGCTGATAGAGCGGTTTAAGAACAACATTGAGGGGAAAAGCACAATCAGCACCAATCAGGATGCCAATCACTTTCTCGAGGCCACTGACATCTTATGTCGATGCAAAACGCCAGCTCTTTATGTAGAGTCGATCATTTCGAGCGCGAAAGGAGTCGAAACTCTGGGGAGCGTTGTGCGAAGCGATCTCTCCACGGGCTTCATCTCATCTGTCATGACCATGCTGATGAAACATCTTTCGAATCCCATGGTAAAAACCATCAACAGTGGGCACTTTCTTCAACGCATCTTGTTCGCGGTCCTGTGCCCCCCTACTTTCTGGTCAGCTGTTCTCCAACACCAGCAGAGTACTGGATTTAGTGTGGGCGAAGTTGAGACTTTTGCCTGGCTTTGTTTCGAGATTGTCTCAATGAAGTCTCCCGAACTCGACACACTGTATGGCGACGTTGTGGCTTTGATGGATAGCCAGTCTCTCATCAGAGCAGCCTCACATCCGGTCAGGAAACTGGCCTATCGAATCGAAAAAATCCTGAAACTGCACTCGATTGCGGCTACCGCAACCACAGGTCATGGCCCCGGTGGCCGCCATGACAATGACTTCGTGGACTTTCGCGCAATCTCCATCTATCCGACCGCAGATGAAGTCCGTTCCATGGATGAACCATTTCTGCAACGGTTAGATGATGTGTTCGATGTTCCGCGCGAGTCTCGGTCAGCTACATACCTCTCGTGGCTCTATCGGCTACTGAGAGAAGACATGCTTGCAGATATGAGGGACAATCTTGCCATTGCATGGGGCCAGAAGAAGGGACGGCGTAAACCTCCCCGCCTTGGCGGACTGAGCCTCGTAGGGTTCGGCGACGGCAGCAAGACGCGTGTTGATCCACTGGCTCTACAGCTGAAATGCGAGGATGGAATCGTATTCCCTCGTTCGATTGACCAGAGAGATCGAAAAACCTTCCTCGAAGGCTCTGGAAAATCGTTCATGAAAAACAACTCTATAGGCGTATTGTGCCGCAACAATGATATCATCGCCTTTGGCTGTCTTATTCGCAATGTCGACCTGCTGCTGAAAAAGACACCCACTGTCGTCATCAAGTTCATCAACGTAGAGGCATTGAAGAACTCATTGGAAGCACTCCTACATCCTATGAAAGGTGAACTCCAATTTTATGGTGTCGATACCGCTACTTTTGCCTATGAGCCCATCTTGCAGCGTTTGAAGGAGATTTACGAAATACCACTTGAAGACATGGTGCTGGATCCAAAATCGGCCACAAGCCTATATCAGCCGCCTGAAAAACTGTCGCAATTATTGAGGCAACTCCGAGCCGCACTTGACAAGCAACAAGAAGTTAACCTGTCCTCCTTCGGCCACATGGGAGGATCTATCCGTGTATCTGGTGCACAGCTGGAATCTCTGATCAACGGTCTGGAAAACTGCGTTGGTCAGATACAAGGTCCGCCAGGCACGGGGAAGTCATTCATCGGTGCTCTGATATCGAGAATCATCCTTAAGCTCACCAATTATCGGATTTTGGTATTGAGCTATACAAACCATGCTCTGGACCAGTTTCTCGAGGACCTATTGGACATTGGAGTATCGGAAAGGGACATGGTGCGGATCGGTTCCAAATCGACAACGAGAACCGAACCTCTTCGGCTTGAAACACTCTGCAAACAGCCAGCATTTCGGTTCTCCTTTGAAGTCAATGCTACCATTAGAAAGTATAAATCAGAAGCCTCTGACGTCAATGAACGGCTCGTTGATGTAGGGGAAAAACTCGCAACCACCTGCGTCGACCCAGATGACATACTTACGCTGCTGGAGTTCTCCGAAGATGCGACACCTTTTTGGCCCGCATTTCAAGTCCCAAAGCAGGATGATGGCTTCGAACTAATGGGCAAGAATAACAAGCCGATGCGAGCAAGTGAAATTCTGGAGTTATGGGTACAGGGGCAAGATTCCGGTGTTGTTCGTGCTCTGCTAGCCTCCATGGACCCAGCATCTCGCTCGGTATGGAGCATCCCCATTAGCTCGCGAAGGGAGTTTTTGAATCAATGGTGCTCCAAAGTGCGCCATGACCAGACGCAAGAGTTTGCTAGCCTTGCGGAGATGTCGAGCAGGATTCAGCGAGAAATTGACAGTTTGTACAACGAATCCAAGCGCAAGGTTCTGCGGAGTAAACGTGTTATTGGTTGCACTACTACTGCAGCGGCCATGTACCAATCTATCATCGAGTCAGCACAGCCTGACATGGTCTTGGTCGAAGAAGCAGGAGAGATTCTAGAGGCTCACATCATCACTGCACTCAGCTCATCGGTAAAACAGCTCGTGCTCATTGGTGACCATAAACAACTTCGCCCCAAGGTAAACAACTATACCCTCACATTGGAGAAGGGCGAAGGGTTCAACCTCAACATGTCCATGTTCGAAAGGCTGATACATCAGGGCCACTCATATACTACTCTCCGAGAACAGCATCGCAGCCATCCCGAGATTTCCCACTTCGTCCGTCGCCTGGCCTATGAACATCTTGAAAATAATCCGAAAACCCTCGAGCGTGAAAAAGTCAGAGGACTCAAAGGGAGAGTTATTTTTGTTCATCATGAGCATCAAGAGGAGAAACTTGCTGACGTGGCCGATCGTCAGCCGGGAGAGTCCAAGAGAAACGCATTCGAGGCTGAAATGGTGCTCAAGATGGTCCGGTACCTAAGCCAACAAGGGTATAAATCCAAGAACATGGTGGTCCTGACGCCGTACTTGGGCCAGCTGTCATTGTTGAGACAGAAACTCAGTCGTGATCATGACCCCCCTGGTTGAATGACCTGGACTCGTATGAATTGACCCGTGCCGGGCTGATGACACAAGCCGCTGCTAAATTAAACAAACAGCCGCTTCGATTGTCCACCATCGGTATGTCATAGGACATGGTAACTGCACTGGTGTTGAAAGCTAACTTTATAGATAATTACCAAGGCGAGGAGAGCGACATTGTCATCGCATCTCTAACTAGAAGCAATGCATCTGGAGATATTGGATTCATGGCCGCACCCGAGCGACTGGTGGTCCTCATGTCACGAGCGAGGAATTGTGCCGTGCTATTTGGCAATATGCACACGTTCACAAAGAGTAAAAAGGGCGGCGAGTTGTGGGGAGGCTTTTTCCAAGCCCTAAAAGAAAAGGAGTGCTTGTTCGATGGTGTGCCTGTGTATTGTGAGCGACACCCTGATCGAGAGGCACTCCTGAAATCAGCAAATGACTTCGACCAGCATTGCCCAGATGGGGGTTGTTCAGAGCCCTGGTAGGTTATTCTCCGTTTTAGTGTTACAGCATTGAACTCTCCTTTTAACATTTCTTAGTGGCAAGCCGTTGAGCTGTGGGAAGCATGCCTGTGATCTTCGATGCCATCGAGCTATTGATCATTCTCAGTTTCCCTGCAACAGAAGGGTCTCTCATACTTGTGTTCGAGGGCACAAGTCGAAAATCCTCTGCTCAACAAAAGTTGAAGGCTGCAAGTCGTGTACTCGCGAAGATGAAGAGATTCGCCGGCGTGCCGCACAAGACTTGAAGTTAGAGACCATGAGACAAGAAAAACAAGCCGCATATGCTAGTGAACTTCAAAAGATTGGCGATGAGATTGATCACTATGAGCGCGTCTTGGCTTACAAGAGAGAAGAGCAGGCGCAACAGGCTCAGCTGGAAGAAAAGAAGGCCAAGCTCAAGGGCTTGAAGGCAGCCCAAGAAAGGAGAGATGCAGTTGAAAGTTCCAAAAAGGCACAAGCGCGGAAGGACCAACCTAGGATGGGAAACAGCAAGAACTCGGGCTCCAAACTTAAGAGTCAAGCACAGCAAGAATGGGAATGGATGAAAGCGCACGGTGAGCCCAGTAATGAGGCTCTCAACAAACTCATGGACCTAATAGGTCTCGAGACTGTAAAGGAGGAATTCTTGGCTGTCAAGTCCAACATTGATACAAAAATCCGGCAAGAGCTATCATTGTCCGAGGAAAGACTGAGCTGTTCATTGCTGGGCAATCCGGGGACCGGTAAGATGTGCCCCAAATACATGGCAGATGGCATGGGTGCTAACTCACAATTTCAGGGAAAACAACAGTTGCTCGCCTGTGGGCAGAATTCCTTGCATGTACAGGAGCTCTCCCTGGCGATGGCTTCAAGGAAACCTCCGGATCCAAGCTTGCCAATATGGGCGTGTCTGGCTGCGAAAAGCTCTTAGAGGACCTGAAGGACATTGGCGGGGGCGTGTTATTTATTGACGAAGCTTACCAGTTGTCCTCAGGGAACAGTCCCGGCGGCAAGGCAGTATTGGACTATCTCCTTGCCGAGGTAGAGAACCTCCGTGGTAAAGTGTCATTCGTTATTGCGGGATATGACAAGCAAATGGAAACCTTTTTCGCCCATAATCCTGGGTTTCCCAGCCGTTTTCCGATCCAGATGCGATTCAACGACTACTCAGACGACGAGCTGCTCCAGATCCTCCAACGCCAGGTTGACCGGAAATACAAGGGCAGAATGGCCATTGAAGACGGGCCCGACGGCTTGTATTTCCGAATAGCTGCTCGTCGAATTGGTCGCGGTCGAGGTAAAGAGGGCTTTGGTAATGCTCGTGCTGTAGAGAATGCACTGGCACAAATGGAGAAGAGGCAGTCCAGCCGGCTTCGGCAAGGACGCCGGTCCGGTGCCAAACCTGACGATCATTTGCTCACCAAAGAAGACATTATTGGTCCGGAGCCATCCGCGACGTTGGTTAATTGCAAGGCATGGCAGAGGCTGAATGAAATGATTGGCCTTGCCGAAGTAAAGCAGGAGGTTAGGGTTCTGCTGGACTCACTTACGACGAACTACCAAAGAGAGCTTGAAGAAGAACCCCTCATGGCCTTCTCTCTCAACCGCGTCTTCATCGGGTCTCCTGGAACTGGAAAAACGACAGTGGCTAAGCTTTACGGCAAGATATTAGCATCACTGGGCATGTTGTCGAACGGTGAGGTAGTTGTCAAGACGCCGGCCGACTTTATTGGGTCTGTGCTTGGACAGTCCGAGGCGCAGACCAAGGGCATACTCGCCTCGACGATAGGTAAAGTTCTTGTCATTGACGATGCATACGCGCTGCAAGGTGCCGGGGGTGCCGATGGCTCGCATGTAGCCGACCCATATAGGACCGCTGTCGTGGACACCATTGTGGCCGAGGTTCAAAATGTGCCCGGCGAAGACAGATGTGTTATACTTCTGGGATACAAGGAACAAATGGAGGAAATGTTCCAAAATGTGAACCCAGGGCTCAGTCGCCGCTTCGCCATCGACTCGCCATTCGTATTCCAAGACTTTGACGACGATGCCCTATCACGAATCCTGGATTTGAAGCTCAAAGATGGTGGATTCCAGGCGACTGCGCAGGCCAAGCGAGTTGCGCTGGACATTCTTTCCCGGGAGCGTAACCGTCCGAATTTTGGCAATGCTGGTGCCATAGACAACCTATTGAGTAAAGCAAAAGGCGGCTATCAGAAGCGGATTTCCGCGGGAAAAGCGAAAAGAAGCCAATTGGAGGCAGTCGACTTTGATGACAACTTTGACCGCCGGAGCGCAACTGATGTAGAGGAACTCTTTGCAGGGGATATCGGACGCGAAAAGGTCATTTCACTACTCAAAAATATCCAGGATAGATTCAGGCAGCTAAAGAGCCTGGGAATGGATATCAACGAGGAAATCCCATTCAACTTTTTATTCCGAGGTCCCCCGGGCACCGGAAAGACGATGACGGCAAGGAAGTTTGGCAAGTTGTACTACGACATGGGATTCCTCAGCAAGGCCGAGGTGGTCGAATGCTCAGCAACAGACCTCATTGGCCAGTACGTGGGACATACCGGTCCGAAAGTCCAAAAGGTTTTGAACAATGCGCTCGGAAAAGTCTTGTTCATCGACGAGGCCTACCGACTCGCAGGGCACGGCTTCGCAAAGGAAGCAGTTGACGAGCTCGTGGACTCGGTCACCAAAGAAAAGTACAAAGGCAAGCTCATCATAATCCTGGCCGGCTACGTCAAAGACATCAACAATCTTTTGTCTGTGAATCCTGGAATGACGAGCCGATTCCCCGAGACGATAGACTTTGACCCGCTGAGCGCTGAGGACTGCCTCAAGCTGCTCACAAGCTCGCTGGCCAAGAGGAAGGCAGACATTCAACGAAAAGGAAAACTGCTAGACTTGTCTTGCTTGCAATACCCATCCGGAGATTTTGAAAGGAACATTTTGGATTTGTTTCGGTCACTCTCAGGGGTCGAGGGATGGGCCAGCGCGAGGGATGTTAAGCAGCTTGCCAAGGACATCTTTCGCAATGTGGATCTTTCCTCTCCGTCATTAAAGGTCGAGCAAGATGAGGTCAGCGAAGCACTTAACACCATGCTCCTGAAACGCTCAAAAATGGAACAGGATGCTGCGGCGACAGACCTGAGCCTGGGCTTGGCGAATCTCCAACTCCGCGAGGGTTCGCGACCTCTCTTGCCCTCCCAGAGCAATATATCTACCAAATCCCGGCAAGAAGAGCGCACAAACAAGACAGATGACGTGGTCAGTACGGAGGAGCCCGACCAAGACAAATCGGCCTGCGATGGCCTGGGCATTCGGGACGCTGGTGTAAGTGATGAGGTTTGGGAACAGCTCCAACAAGATTGGGCCGAGGAGCAACGCCGCGAGGCAGAGTATCGCGAATTAAAAGAGGCGCAGAAATCTGCTACAGACGAGAATCGGGAACGCATTGTGCGGCAGTTGATAGAAGAAGAAAAACGTAGGAAAGAAGAGGCGGCTATGAAGGCAAGATTAATGGCTCTGGGAAGATGTCCCGTTGGCTATCACTGGATTAAGCAAAGCGGTGGTTACAGATGCGCTGGGGGTTCCCATTACATGTCAGATGGGGACATCAATGCCCTTTGAGCAGTGCAGGGGAATATGACGGTAAATTTGCACTAGGATTTTATTCTTTATTTTTATTTTTTGAGGCTCTTCCCAGTCCGGTATCCGACCAAGGATTTTGCAAAGATGATTCATCACGCAGTCTTTGGATATGTATCGTTGCGACTCATGAGAGAATGTCGCATGGTAATTTGCATTCGCAATGACACCAGACTGCTTCTTGGCGGAAACGACGAATGGGCATGTTGGCCGTTGAAGTGCCCATGTATGCCATGTAGTACTGGTCTATTTTATAGTAGGCCTACTAGGGATCAATCAGCCATTTACATACTGGCACTAGGACAGACACGTATAATCCAAAGTGATTGCTAAAGCAAATAGCGAGGACAGAGAAGAATAACAACCACAGCCCGAATCGAAGCCATTGCCAAGCCTACCTCACGAATACATGGCCGACTACAAGTTCCGTCGTACAAGGTTAGGATTTGTCCCGACGACGAGTGCCCAGCAGGACGGAAATCCTCGGTATAGCATTAATACAGAGTTGACCTTTGACAATTACCATGGCAATGAGAGAATTTAACCTAGACCGGCGTCGACTAGCATCAGCCGTGCCGTAAATAGTCTGAATCTCGACTCCAGTTTAAGCAGGCCAATGAGACGCCAAACCAGGGCAGTCTCATCATCGAGGTCCATGTATATTTACTCGCGTGTGGTAGTTCAGGTGATTGACCCAATCAAGGAGTCAAAATATACCATGGTTGTGGTAAGGGAACTAGTGGCAATCTTAATTCGACATCGTCGTATTTAACCTAGTTCTTTTATTCTCTAACCTACTCCAATGCCAATGCAAGCACTACATCAGGGTAGGGCCTAGTAAAGATGACACAATATGGCTGGTCGTGCCCAAGCCATAGATCCGTAACAGACCATGTAAAACACGATGAATACTCGCATCGCGATGCATTAGGCGCTAGCAAACTAGCAGCCAAATGGTAAACACTATCTATTCGTTAACACCGTGTGCTAGTTTCGCCTCATCCCGGAGGGTGAGCTCTGTGTATGTACCGATACCAAATATACAAGGAGCTGCACGTCGTAAGCTGTGGATGGTACACCTGCCACAGCCTCCATCGCTCCTTCATTCAGACGTCAATGTGTTTTACCATTTCCCAGCAAGCTGCAAAGTGTCTGAGTGATACCATGACTTGTCTTGCTTAAATGCCCATGGTAAACTGTAGCCGTATTTTTCCAAGTCACCGCCTCGTTTCTTCCGCGGGGTGAAGGGATTGGGATATTTACCACGGCCTGTAATAAAACGCTCAACGCGATCTACCAAGAATTTACGAGAATGCCGTGCTGCTACCCTAGCCAAGGCAGGCCACGGGCCGTAGTCTTCATCACGAACGACCCATCTCTCGTCGGAAGAGTTGCTAAAGAAGCTATCAAATTTCACATGATCCAAGGTCATTTCCTTGCTCAGAAATTCGATGAAGCGAATACAGGAGCCCGGATGCAACACCATGTACGCCAGCTCAAGGGAGCGGAGAGTTTCGCGAAGCGCTCTTAGACCGTCGCGCATATGGGCCTCGGGCATGGCCAAGCCATTAAGTGATAGGCTATGGAGATGGTGCAATTGCAAATCGGGGCCGACCAACTCGGAGAAAGGCATAACATCATCTTCGCCACGAAATTCGAAGGACAAAAGGAGAGAGCGCAGTGATGGCGCGCGGGCGATGATGGCCACAATGTGGGTGGCTTCTCCGCCGAGATTTCCCTTATGAGGTCTAAAAATAAGCGAGAGGTGTTGCAGAGACGAGAAACTCCCGTGATAATTAGCAAGGGAGGAGGCTGCGGCATCATGCCAGCAATTCAGGTCCATGTATTCGCCGCGAACATGCGTCAGCCGCTCAGCATGGCCCGCGAGACAGGCGGACTGCAGCAGAGCCCAGAAATGACGTGCTGATTCGAGCTCCCCATGAATGCTGTCAGGCTCCGCCAAAATCTTCTGCGCCACGGCGCTCAAGGAATTCCATGTCACTTTAGGTCGCGGCTCATATGGGTGCCGTTCTTCGTAGAGGTCCGGCATCATGCATTCCACACCCAATAGTCGTGGCAAATTCTGCAAGGCGTCTCGAAGCATACGGTTCTCGTTGTCGCCCTTCAACATGTGTTGTTGGTCAGACAGAAACTGGTAATAGTTTTGGTAAAAATCGTGAAGTTCTTCTTGGCTAAATTTCTGCAGAAGAAAGTCTGTGTCGACTAGGTGAAACAACCCACTGCAAGCGGTGTTGGCCCTCCAGTGGGCGAAGTCGGGACTGACTGTAGAAGCATCCAGGATTCTACCATCGTAGCTGATGTACCTCACATGCTTGCTGAGCTTCTCCGATCTTGAAATGGTCTGAAGCTTCTCAAAGCTCCCAAGATGCACTCTCAGGTAAACCGTCCTGAAAAGCGTCGATAGTGACGGTCCATCGAAAGCACGAGAGACCAGGCGAAGGGCTTTTAAATCGGCTCGCGGAAGAAAAGCGCACATCATTCCCAGAACCTCGAACGGTAGTTTCTCCAGCGGGCTCCTCATGGTAAATTCGGCCGCCATTTTCGACGGGCGGCTCGCCATTCAGAGTCGGTGACGGGTGGGAAGGTGGCGACGACGATGAGAAAAGGGGCAGCAGAGGGCCGCTACATAAATTCAACGTGGAAAGAGCGCGCGGTCTGTTGGCTCACGTTACTGGCGAGTAAAGACACCTGGGTGGGGAACTTGGAAAAGAGCAAATACCAGACGTATATTGCTGAGTTACGGAGTCCATCGAATTCCTAATCCTTGGATTATAGGCCACAAAACCTGACAGATAAGTTGTCGGTGGGCTTACTCTTTTTACTAGACATGTTTATCCCCTTATATTTTAGGTTTTTTTAATACTGTTTATATGTAACAATTGAATAACTGGTATCGCAAACCCCTTTTTACAATATAAAGGCGCCGCAGGCCACTCTGTCAGGTCAATTGACCCATGAAGCCACAGAGCAAAAATTGTAGACGCCTACGGATTGTTACCATAGCAGCTGCAATTATCATATTTCACTCGACACTTGCAGGGGTCTCTGACCGGGTATAAAAGGGGTCAAGCTTGTAGGATTTTTCATCAATCAACTGAGACATTTAATCATCACTTTTTTCATCATTAATACAAGACTGTCAATTGAGGCCCTAAAAAGCCTTCCAAAATACCGTTATTTTCCACTGTGTAAATTGCTGTTGTCGGCTCAACAGGCCCCCGCAGGATGTAAATAAGCAAGATCTCGCCCACTTTGCCTACGCCAGGACAACTCGTTGGCATCAGGGCCTTGTATTATAAAGAGAAAAATAATAAATAAAGTCCGATATCACCCACATATCTAGCGTCACACCAGTCGGCAGAGTATTTAATCTTCCTTCTTGCTACATAAACTTTTAAAGCCTCGGCGATAACCCTACGGAACTAGACGATGTCGCAAAACCATACGTCATGCATCTCGAGCCAAAACTCACTCACTTGTTAAAGTCACAACCACAAACTACACCCCCAGAGGGAACCTCCTCGCCAGCCAGGCCTCGCCCGCATCCTCACCACTCGACTTCAACATCGTCCTCGCGCAGCCCTCGTCCCAAGGGCCACACTCGGCCTCGCAAACGGCCTCCCCGTCCGGCAACTTCCCCGTGTCAAAGTACCTGGCGACGATGCCCCTCGTGCACTCGCTGTACGCCGAGACGGCGGCACAATGCCCCATGGCTTCCTGCACAACCACCCTGGCGCGCGGGTGCTTCCTGGCCATGGCCCGCGCAGCCGCCAGCGGCGTGACGGGATCCAGCCTGTTGGTCAGGAACATGATCGGCGCGGCGGGCTGGCCCCGTTGCGGCTGCTCGCGGTCGCGGGCGGGCTCCGGGGAGGTAAAGGGCCCGTGGAAGGACCAGTTGGGCTTGAAGCGCCATCCGGAGCAGGGGAAGCGGACGGTGGACCAGAGGCCGCCGAATACGGCCGACTGGGCGAACTGCTTGTCGACGTAGCGCGCCCACCAGGACGGCTTCCTGCCGCGGATGTCTTCGCCGTCGCCGCAGAGGACCGCCGTCTGGGGGTCGGAGCCCGCGTTGGGCTTGGCCGTCTGGTTGGCGACGGGACACGCGTCTTGGAGGGGCGCGCCGAGCCCGGACTCGATCATGGCCAGGATGGGGTCGTAGGTCCCGTGGACCATGGCGTTGTCAAGGAGCTCGGCGACCTGGATGAAGGATTTGAGGGGCGTGTAGGCCGCCGAGGCGAGGACCAGGCGGATGTCCGCGCCCGTCAGGATGATGGAGCTGCCCTGGGGGCCGACGCCGGCCACGGGTGCCTCGTCGAGCTGTTTGACCCATGACCAGAATCGGGTGCGCAGGTCTGAGGCGGATTTGTCTTGGGGACGGGCGAGACGGCAGACCTGGGGACCGGCGTGGAAACACCCGTCAAAGAATTTGTCAACGATGGCGTCGGAATCGACAGTGTTTGTCAGCCAGCCCTGCACCACGAGTCCGGTCGATTAGTTCCTATCAAGATGGAAGGGGCCTTGGGGAAGGGGAGGAGGAAAGACTCACGGGGCCGGTGGCATAGTCGTCGGCGTTGCAGACTCCGTCGAGCACAATTCGTCCGATGCGCCCCGGGAACAGCGAAGCAAAGTAGTTTCCGAGAATGGTGCCGTACGAAAACCCCATGTACTGCAGTCTCGGAACATCCCCTTCGTTCCTCTTCTTCAGTTCCGCGGGCCCATCACGAGCCGCTTCTGTCTTCCTCAGCTCGTCAATGCTGTCCACCATGGCAACCATGTCTCTGGCGACGGACGGCGTCCCCAGATACTTGAAAATCTCGCCCCCGTTCAGACCCTCGGCGTCAGCCTTCTCGCATCTCCTTCCGTATCCATCATACAGGGCCAATCCGTAGGAGATTGCCGCTGGGCTTTTATTCAACCCCCCGTTGCCTCTCGTCTCAAGCATCCACGCATCCCTGGCAAGAGCAGCGCCGGGGAAACAGTTGGCCAGGGGCCTGCTATTCCCAATCCCACGAGGATCAAAGGAAACTATGTCGTAATGCTTCTTGCCGGGGCTGTCGACGTAGTCCCGCAGAAAATGGCCGTATTCAACGACAAAGCTTACACCTGAACCGCCTGGCCCGCCGGGATTGGTGAAGATGGGCCCGCCAAAAGCAGGGTCATGATCGGGTACCTTGGCAGGGAGCTTGATGACGGCAATGGCGACGGTTCGTAGGTCGGTACTGTTTTTCCAGTCGAGGGGGAGCTTGAGCCGGGCGCATTTGAAGGCGGCGTAGCAGTCATGGTACCGGAGGTCTGTGGACGGGCTGATGGAATCCCAGTCGAACTCGGGAGCAGCAGCGCCTGCCGTGGCGAGGGCAGATAGGCCGAGGATGAGGTCGTCACGAAGCCGCATGCTGGCTCGACAAGTGGTGATGTAGCTGGTGTGGTGTTGGTTCTGAACTTCTGATGCAGACCGTGAAGATCCAGGAGTCAGCAGCAGTCTGCGACTTGCGAGACTCAACCCATTTATTAACTGGAGGCAATTGTCAGCTTCCACGTCCTCCTGTCAGCCTGCATTGGCCGGCCCCCGCAGCCTAGTGGTTGGCGTACCCAGTGTGTGGCAGGCATCCAACTTGACATGTCGTGTAAGTGAAGCTAAGTCAAAATAGGAAAGTAGAGCTTGACGATAAGTCGAAACGCGTAGACACAGCATGCTCTCATGGCCGCACCGTCAAATGGCTCGATTGCCAGCATGTTGTGCAAACCTAGTCGATTGATTTACTACCAATGGTCAAGTATACTTCACATGCAATCAGGCGATATATGCCAGCTCAGAAATTCTAGTCCGCAGGCGGTCGCGGAGTGCTCGCCATCCTCGATCCTTGCCCCGAATCAGGCCTGCCTACCATGCTGGCGGCCGCCGAATCATCATCATTGATGCGAACAACTGTCCACTTCTGGGCAGGGCCCTGCATGCCTGCCCACAAGTCGGCGGGCAGATACTCGCCGACATCCTGTCGAAAGGCTTCTCTGGACACGCGGTCCGCCTCGAGTATCTTGTCCACCGAATCCTGGGCCTTGCGCCAGATGCCCTGGACTCGCTCGTCGACGGCCCGCCGTCTTTCGACTTCTAGGACAAGACTGCCGTAGGCACTTGCATACCCCTCGTAGAAATCTCTCATTTCGTTCATCTCTCTGACCTTTCCAAAAACGGCTTCCTTCTCCAGCTCCCACCGCAGTCTGAAATCTTCCTCTGCGGCGACGTAGTCGTCGATGCGATCGCCAATCTGTCCAACTAATGCAAACGCTGAAATTATACCAAAATAAGACTCCTTTGAATGGTCTACATGCTCTTGTAATGAAGTGTATTCTTGCTCCATGGCCGCGAGGCGCTCTTGAATCTCTCGTACAACGTCTTCAACCTCGTCTGCGTCTTGTACAACTACCTTGAGCATTTCCGCTCGGTCTTCTGCCGTCTTGGGTTCGAGGTCAGACATGTGCGACTCTTGCTCGGCAATGACGCCAGATATCGACACTCCGTCACTGCTTTGTGACTGCGTGACCTCGGCAGCCTTCCTGCGTGCGAGGGCCGCTGCACCTTCGGTTGTGCGAATCGCGGTGACGCACATGTCAAAGTGCTTAGTTAGCGACGCCAACAGCTGTGCCATGGTTGACGAGTGATCGTCGAGACTCTGCAACAGTACCACGGGAGTAAGATGTGCATCGTCGCCCGGTTTCTGGGGGTAGGATTCGTTTATGCGCTGTCCTAGATTTCGGATATCGGTTTCGAGGCGGAGCAGATCGCCGTCGAATGATTGTTGGATAGTCTAGTCTTGTGTTAGGGTTGAATCGTAAATTGAATGTCGAAGCAGATGCGGATAAAGGCCCGGCAAGGCTGACTTACCTGCAAGTCCTGTATGCTCTTCTTCATGACCTCTCGCATGCCATGGACGCTAGATTCATCGACAAAATCTAACAAACTCTTCCGTTCTCTATCGCTTGGTTGTAGGAGGGTCTGCACATGTGTGTCTCGAAGCATGTCCATGGTACCCGTCAAAGCACCGTCAACGTCATCCATGGCCTTGATAAGCTTCTTGAAGTCTCGTTTGCCCCATTCATAGGTGGTCTGAAGGCTTCTCCTGATGCGCACCAGGATGGCATTTTGATCGCGAAGATAGTTGCCGACGAAAGCGGTTTGCGCCGCCAGCAGCAGCATCTCCTCGTGAGAGTGTCGCGCCTCGGTCGCAAGCTCGTTGGCACGCAGCACATGATTCATGGAGGACAAGGAGCGCTTGGCAACGAGTAAATGGTTTACGAGGGTATCGACGGAAATGGTCGGGGACTTGGGTTGATGGTCATCGGAGCGCTTGAGCGATGCCGATGATGATGCCGCGCTGCGGCGAGACGAGGCCGCCGGCGAGGCAGCCATGTTGGGGAAACGGGAACAGAACGGTGTTGGAGTTCAGGTGGGAGGATGCGGTGTGTTGAACAGGCTGTGGGTGAAATGAAGCAAACGCAGATGGCGCTACATGATGATGAGCCCCTGCGTCGCTAACGTGGAAAAGGATGAGACGAATCGACGGCGTGGGGTGAGGCTGCACGGATGATGCAAGGACGAGCTTCACGACGGCACTGGGGACGAAGACGACTTGACGCATGCAGCTGGCCATCTGGAGATGGCTGAGCTCCGATAAGGCCGATAACGAATGGCGCTCCGATAATGGCAACATTTTAAGGTTGCAGGGACCGGTGACAATGGCACCATGGCACCATGGCAAGCCATGATTAGCCATTCTGAGGACTAGCGTCGCAGCAAACGCCGCGACTTTTGCGCCGTCGCCGGCCTCGCATGCATTGTCGTGTCAATTGATGGCTCTTTGATGCAGAATGGGCAAGTTGGTCTGCGTCAATGCCGGCAGGGACATGCGGTGTGGCGGCCGCGACGCCAGAGAGATCAACTGAGAACTTTCAATTGACTCGTTAAGACGGCAGCCGACAGCAGCCGGCGCCAGCCACGCCAACCAGACTAGTACTCCGTATTCACACATGCATTTGATTTGATCCAAAGCGCAAGAGCCATCAAGCCCGAGCAACGCAAACGCTTGCCTCTGGACGCGTATCGAAGGGCCAACCGGTCAACTGGTAGGAGAGAGACAGCACGTGTTTTCGCTGCGTCCGATGATGCATCCTTGGCTACGGCTCTTCTCCCGCGATCAGCCAACACGCACTACATATCATCATCCAGACATGCCGCCCGTCCCATTCTCAATCATCATTTCCATCTGTCGTTAGACAACATACTTTCGTTTCACAGCATACTCAAAATCACCATCTACGTGCTTGACGGCCGTCACCTTGGTGCCGTCCCCAAGATGCCATTCGGCCATCTCTAGGAGCTTAAATTCGGGTCGTCCATCTTCAGATTCGGCTCGAGGCGCCGTCAAAACTCGAGTTCTGGAGGCAGCAGTTACTCGGACGACTCCCAACCCCAAGGTGGCCTTGGCATTGTCACCGACACCACCTCCTCGAGTCCGTCAACATATGGACTTGGAGACTACGCGCCACGAGCATCTGGAGCCCTGACGCCAGCAACGCCCAGGTATCCACACAAATTCATCCATCCCAGGCCAAAGCCCGGCGATATCTCTGTGCCTCCACACCAACTGCTGAAAAGCGAGGAGGCAAAGCGGCGCCGAGCAGTCCGTAGATCGTCTGGCCAGTCGCTGCCGCGGCAAGGGACCCGACTAGCCTCTATCGACGAAGATGGCGATGACGGCGATGAAACGCCTGGCAGAGATGGACCTCAGTCGCCTCCCCCGGTCAAACGGCCGCAGCTAAGCTGCAAGATGTGTCCCAATGTGTCATTCAGCCGCCAGATTGATCTCGATTGCCACATAGAAATGACCCACCCCCGGTGCGCTGAGGTGAGAGTACGGTCGGAAGACTTGAATGAAACGGACAACGCGTTTTGTCAGCTCAAAAACTCGGCCAGGAAAGTGCTGGATAGCCTTACACCCACTGAGACAGTGACGAGTGATTGGAGAAGCTAGTCGCCTGTCTCACCAGATCCTACGCCTCTAGACAAACTGACAACAAAATCGGCAGTACAGCGATCTTCATTTGACGCCAAGCTAAGTGAGCATCACGGCCCGCCTCTCAAGCCGACGTTGCCACTTGCTGTAATTGACACTGAGACTGAGCCGTTGCCGCTTGAGAAACGGCAATCCAAGGGCGAAGAGCCGTCTTCCCGTCATGGGCATCTGGATTTCAAAACAGGAACTTCGTCTAAACTAACTTGGATGGTGCAAACAAGTGACGACTTTGCAGAGCGCCAACGACAGGACTCCATTGATTCATTCATGTCAGACAATTCTGCGCTCAACGCTAGAATGGCTCAGCACTTGAGTCCGTGCGATGTCGAATTAGGATCGTCTCTGTCAAGCGATATCTTGAGCGACGTCTCGAGCGATGGCTACCTATACAGCGTCTCGAGCGATTATGGTGCGAGCAGTCATGGAGAGTCTAGTCCGGTGTGGACGCGGCCTTGGAAAGCACAGGATGGAGTAGCCCCAGGCACTTGGCTCTGTCCGCACTGTGAGCAGGGTCTCAATCTTGGCGAGAGCAGACAAACCGCAGCCATGAGGGAGGATTACAAAAGGTTGCAAATAGAGCCGCCGTTCGAGAGACTAGCTGGTTGGGGGATCCTGCAGAGAAAGTGCGGCTTCTGTAACAAGAAGGCATTTTGCAAGCTGTTTAAGCACGACAAGAAGCAGGAGCAAGAAGATGATTCAATGGCAGACTGAGTTGTAGTCTTGGTTGGTTTTATTTGTCAATGAGCGTAGTGTAGATTTCAGCGTTGTTTTATTTGGCTAGCTCTATTTTATCTAGTTTTTTTTTTCGCGCCACTTCCGTATAGCCCTATTTTGCCGTAGCAGGCTGAGGGACTTCAGGCTGGTCAAAAGGTGATGCGGGCTCTTCGGAGCCGCGGCCGCTTTCGTCTTCAGCAGCAGTGAGTCCCTGGGTCTGGCGGTCGACGCGTCTCCTCCACGGTCCGTACAAGAGGATGGAGGCAATGCCAACGAGCAGAAAGACTCCGCATATGCTGCCGCCAATGATGTCAAAGTGGTCTCCGATGGCGCCGACGCCGTCCCAGAAGCTGCCCTCTGGCTCGGCGACGTTTTGGACGAGCGACAGGATCTGGACGATGCCGATGAAGGCCGATACCAGGACGGTGATGGCGCTCAGCACGATCTGGTAGTACAGCAGGGCGACGAGGTCACTGGAGAAGGCCTTGGAGCTGTAGAGGGTGACCATGGCGGCGCCGTCGGTCGTGTCGATGAGGCACATGCCGGCTGTTGGGGTTAGTTTTTTTTCTTTGATAGGGTCACATCTTGGCGGTGGTGGTGTTGACACAAAGGCCCGCGCTGGGAAAGGGAAATACTTGCATGTGAAGAGAATGGGAAAGATGAGAATGAGCCAGATGCTGGTCCCTTTGAGGGCCTGCAGCGAGGCGATTCCCAGAATGGCCACTTCGGAACTCGTGTCGAAGCCGAGGCCGAAGACGACGCCCAGGGGGTACATTTTCCACGGGCGGTCGACGGCCTTGAAGAGGAACTTGAAGACGCGGACCAGCACGCCTCCGCCGTGGACGTGGTCGTGGTCGTAAGGGAGGGCGGGCTCGAGGCTGCCGGCGGCGAGGCCACGTCGGCGGCGCAGCTCCCGGCGGAGGGCGCCGACGAGGCCGTACAGGATCCAGGCGTTGGCGACGCACAGGACGACGAGGACGGTGGCGCTGACGGCGGTGCCGACAATGTTGCCGACGCGGGTGAAGCCGTCGAAGCGGTCGCGCAGGGCGCCCGAGGTGGCGGCGACGACGACGCAGGTGACGATGACAATGGTGGAGTGGCCCAGGCTGAAGAAGGTGCCGACGGTGGCCGGGCGCTGGCCCAGGCTGACGAGGCGGCGCGTCATGAGGTCAATGGCCGAGATGTGGTCGGCGTCGAGGGCGTGGCGGAGGCCGAGGGTGTAGGAGAGGGCGGCGGCGGAGATGAGGGCCGGGTGGTGGTGCAGCACGACGGCGATGCTGGCCCAGACGACGAGGTTGACGGCCGCGACGAGGGCCACGATGCCGATGGCGTTGGGGGGCACGCCCGAGAGGAAGCGCGGCTTGGGGGGCAGCGCGAGCCTCATGGTGCCGGTTGGGGGGGGTCGCGATGTTCAAGAAGCGGAGGCGAGCGGGAATTTGTGGTATTTGTATTCGGCTGCTACGTGTGCCTGTGTTGTAGTACATGTGTCTGGTGCGCCAGACGCCACGCGCGGCTCATGCCTTGAGCTAAAGTGCGCCATGTCGATGTTGCCCATGGCGCAGATGCCGTGGCCGGCTTGGTCCGCGTTGCAAGTGAAGTCGGGATGGCCTCGCGGGCGGGGATGTCTTATCTCGCCGGTGTGGGGAAGCATTGATGGATGGGCATGGGTGCATGCACTTGGGGCCGGAGGCGGGCGGGGGCGGGAACATTGAATCTGCATGTGGACTGGTGTAGATCAGATAACAAGCTGCCAAGTTGATGGTACGTAAAATCGAAATCTGCAGGCCCGGCTGATACTGGCGTGGTATCGGCCACACGAGCCGTCACATGGCGCGGCAAGGGCAGCATGGCATCGGCCGCTCTTTGGCCGACGAAGCGGCATGATTGACGTCCCTTTTTTTCTCCTGTTCTTATTTTACGTTTAATCTTATTCTTGCTCCCCCGTGTCCAACGTCGCATCCGCACATGACAAGAACCCCCCCATCCACCGCTCGTCCTCGGCGTCCATTTCGAAATCGAAGCGCGTCACCTCTTCGCTAAACGGCCACAAGTACGTGCTGGTAACCCTGCTATCGTCAGCTCACCATGCCCAGCGTCGAATCCGCCATGCCGCCTTGCCTGTGGTGCTCGTCACTCGCTTGGTATCTGGAGATGCACGTCAGCCAGTTCAATGCGCCACTAGTATTCATTTGTTTGCGCAAAATAAAAACATACTCTGCCAAGGCCGCCTTGCTCGCGTGGTAGCTCACCAGGGCCAAGTGATTGCCTCTGCTCCGCGCGATGGGATCCGTGACCGAGGGCCCGCCCACCACCAGCCGTTTGTTCAGGACGCTCGGCAGGTCCCGGAGCCGCTTGAGCTCTGCGGCAAAGGCCTCCTTGTGCGCCGGGGAGACGCTGGGCTTGAACTTGAACAGGACTGCACATGCGGTTACTTGTTAGGCGTGGAGCTGGGGGTGGGTGGGTGTTGGATGGGCAGCCTTACCGATATGAACAAGCACCATTTTGGGCTGATTGATTCCACGTTGGCACCGGCACCAGAGGCAAGGCAATGGCGGCCAAGGCGGGCGTATAAATATTCATTGACTGTCAATTGGGATCGCGGCGTTGCTCCGTCGCCCGGACCCGCTGCGGCGTTTGGCCGGGGGTGGCTGCCCGCGTCTCCGAGATGCAAGGCGCGTCGTAAGCAGGCACCTTGACCTTGCATTTGGATGGCTCACTTCATGTTTCGGCGTGTCACGGGGTGGTAAAACGACAAGCCTTGTTCTGTCCCATTCGTGATTTTCTTTAATGCCTGCGTGTAGCGTGAGACCAGATTCAGTTGCAGTCATGTACATGTAAATGAGGACTTGTGCCATTTGAAATGATTCTACAACACCTGCCTCCAACGGGAAACCAGATGCAGGGAACTACAGGTATCACAACTTGTACTCTATAAAACCACGCGTCCCCATCCCTTCAGACATGGACATGGCCCGCACCGCCAGCCACCGCTACTCGTCCATAAACACAAGCGGCTTCGCAGACACCCTGGCCGCCTCGGCGTTCAAGGCGTCAATCTCGGCCTGCACCAGCGGGATCCCCGTCCTCTCCCGCTCCGCCTGCGTGCGCTGCTCAATCTCGCCGGGAAAGTAGATCCTGTCCACGCCCGCCGCCTTGTCCGCCCCCACGACCCTCTCGTACAGGTACTTCATCCGGCCTCTAAACTCGTCCAGGCCCATAAACAGATCCGGCTTGACAGCGACCAGGAAGTGCCCGACGTCCGCCGGCCCCGACGGGTCATACGGGCCCGTGACGTGCCCCGCAAACGCCGCCCCGGACAAGACGCCCGAAAAGACGTCCATCATGATGGCCAAGGCCGACCCCTTCGGCCCCCCCATGGGCAGCATGACGCCCCCCAGCGCCGCCGCAGGATCCTCCGTCGGCCTGCCCTCCGCGTCGAGCGCCCAGCCCGCCGGGATCGTCTCCCCCCGCCGCTGTGCCTTGTATATCTTGCCCCGGGCCGCCACCGAGGGCGCCATGTCGAGGATGAAGTCGGGCTCGCCGGGCGCCCCGCACGCAATCGGCGACACGCCCAGGAGTTTGCTCCTGCCGCCAAACGGCGGGAGCGCGGGGCTCGAGTTTGTAAACACCAGGCTCATCATGTCTGCGTCGAGGGCCTGCTGGACCACCCAGGCCGACATGCCAAAGTGGTTCGAGCGCTTGACGCTCGCCATGCCGATGCCGTACACCCTGGCGGACGCGATGGCCGCGCGCATGGCCAGGTGCGCCGACACGAAGCCGAAGCCGTTGCGGCCGTCGACTTGCGCCACCGCCGGCGTCACCTGGTCGATGGCCGGCTGGGCCGCGGCGTCGAGAACCCCCCTGCGGATGCGCTCCATGTACGACGGGATCCGGTTCATGCCGTGCGTGTCGACGCCGCGGAGGTCAGCGGCAACCAGGCACTTTGCGATGAGGGCTGCATACTCGCCCGGTGCCCCGTTCCCGGTGAGGATGTCTTGCACCAGGCGGCGCGCTTCCGAGGGGGATACATGTCTTGTGACGCTGTCCTCAGCCGGTGCCATTTTGTAGAATCCAAGTGGAGAATCTGAATGATGGAGTCATTCGTAGGCCAGCTACAAAATGTTGGGATGAATGCATGGTTGACGCTTTTTTCTTTTATAAGCACAGCGTCGTGAGGTAGAATTTCGTGGAGCGGGAATTTTCCGCCCCGCCCGGTCGCCATTATGCGGACTTTGTCCGCGCGGCTCCCTCATCGGCCTTTTACCGCTCTGACTCTTTCGCTCGCCCAGTCAACGGCTTCGAGGAACTGTAACCCAAGCAGCAATGTCTGAGTCGGAGGGTCATACAGCGAGCCCAGTCAGGGCGTCTGCGAGACGTCAGGCTCGCAATCCGCGTTTGCGGCTGGCTTGTCTGCGATGTCAACGTCGCAAGATCAAGGTGGGCGGCTGGCTTTGCACCGGGGGGGGAGAGACGAGAGAGTGTCAGTGTGGGCTAACAAGCGGCTTCACAGTGCGATGGAGAACTTCCTCAGTGTAAACATTGCAGGAACACGGGGTCGGAGTGTGTGGATGGCGAGAGTGCCCGGCTGAGAGACTTTCCCAGAGCGTACGTACGACATTCCCGCCTCTCATAAGTTGCACCTCCCGGAGCCTTTCACTTCCCAGCTAACTACATGTGTAATACCATGGGCTCAGGTACATTACAAACTTAAAGGATCGTGTCAAGTGGCTGGAAAGCATCATCCACGAAAAATGCCCCTATGTTGATCTGAGCCAGGGGCCGAATTGTGAGAACCTCAAGACCGTCCTGAACGGTGAGTCAACGCCTGTTGTTGCGCAAGTCGAGCCCGGCACCTCAAACCCGGAGCAAAGTGAATCCAGGGCAGCGTCGTCGCATGAAATCGGCCTCGTGTCCTTGGGGGGAAGCCAGGATCCGCGATACATTGGCCCCTCGAGTGGATATTTCCTCGCCAGAGTCATGCTCACCAAGGGTTCCTCGCCAGGCATCTCGGGCGGCCGAGACATGGCGTTTCCGACGGATCTCATTGAGACGGTGCAGAGCGCTGCCAGTCTGCCGGCGCGGGAGATTGCAGACCAAATCTGCGACGCCTTCTTCGAGAGCCTCCATGCCACGTATCCCGTTTTGCACCGGCCGACCTTTGACAGGGTCCTGGACAAGATGTACACCCTGCAGTACGATGATCCCGCGGCCTGCTTCCAGGTGTACATGGTGATGGCGCTGGGGAGCCTGGTGGTGTCGCAGAGGCTCAAGGCAATCCTGCCATGTGAGAGGTACGGCCTCTCGGCGTTGAGATACTTTGACCGGATCAATGTGGAAAACTCGCTGCAGGGCCTGCAGTGCCTTTTGCTGCTCCTCGTCTTTACGCTGCACAACCCGCACGTCAGGGTGAATATCTGGCATCTAAACTACCAGGCCATAGCCGCGGCAGTCGACTTGGGCCTCCAGCGCGACGTCACCACGCAGGCGGGAATCTCGCTGCTCGAGCAGGAGATGAGAACACGGATCTTCTGGGTGGTCTTTATGATGGACCGCATCATCGCCACGACCATGGGCCGTCCCATCGGACTACGAGACGAGGCGTGCGACCTGAGATTGCCGCGCATGCTCGACGACATGGACATCATGACAGCCGGCTCTCCTCACTCTCACAGCTCGGCCTTCAAACCCATTGCGTACTCGATCCACCTGTTCCGGCTGGCCAAGCTCAACTCGGAAATCAAGTACGTCGCAAACAGCGTGGTCCGACAGACGCCCGTCTACGCATACCCAGCCGTGATTGACATTTACGAATGGCAAGCCAGCATGCTGGAGCAGATCAACCAGTGGGAGGAGCACATTCCCACCGGCGACGGCGCGCCCGCGACCCAACACCTAGAGACGGCTTGTCGCATCCAAGGCCACACGCTGCGCATGGTGCTCCTGCGGCCGAGCCCGGCCATCCCCAAGCCGACCAGGGAGGCGTTGGAAAAGTGCCACGCGAGCGCGCGGGAGTCGCTCAGGCTCCTCAACAAGCTCTACGTCGGAAGCGCCCTCATCCACAGCTGGCTGACCTTTCACGCCGTGGTCCTGAGCACCCTGAGCATCCTGTACTGCGTCAAGATGGTGCCGGACCTCCGCCAGCAGACAGACGTGGCCGAGCTCATGAGCGACCTCAGCATCTCGTCCAGCATCCTCTCCGCCACGGGCGAGCACTGGTCGGGGGCACGCCGCTGCCGCGACACCCTCGACGAGCTCGGCCGCTCCACCATCAAGGACCTCCTCGCGCAAGACGGCCCGGCGCCGGCACGAGAGCCCAGCAGACGACGCGGACGCGCCACGGTTCAGCGCCAGGCTGCCGCCGCCGCCACCCCCATCTCGCTGTCGGACGTGGACTTGTCCACGGACGCCATCAATGGGGCATTCACGCCCATGATCGAGCCGAGCGCCTTCTTCGACGACTTCCTCGGCAACGACTCGTTTGCAAACTGCTTCCCCGACGAGAGTGCCACCAACATTGACGAAATTGTGCGCAACATGTTCCAGGACGACACAACCGCAACGGCATTCGGGTAGAAAATGGTTCTCTTTCTTTTTCGGGGGATGGTTCTAAAATATGCTGCCATGTAAAATCCCACCTTTTCTATAGAAACAACAAAACAAAGACGTAGTGTGAAAAAAAAAAAAAAAGTCCCCAGCTCGCTACGGCTCCTTTGTCCCGCGGACGTATTTTGTATGCCGGGCCCGAGTGACGGGGGTCTCGGAGCCGTCCTCGCCCAGCTTGTTGATGGCGACGCTGACAAAGGCCAGGCTGCCGCCTACGCGCTCGGCGGTGCTGTGGATGAGCACCGTGTCGCCGGCGGCGGCGGTCGACAGGAACGTGAGGTGCATGTCGACCGAGGCGCCTGTCTTCTCGCGCAGGTCGTGCGCGCAAATGGCCAGCCCGGTGGCGAAGTCGACCATGGTGGCGCTGACGGCGCCGTGGAGGCCGCCCTTGCTGTTGAGGTGCGTGGCCGAGAGGGTGAGCCGGAGCGTGACGGTGCCGGCGGCGACAGCGGCGAGTTGGATGTCGGCGAGGATGAGGCCGTAGATGGGCGATTTGGAGAGGAGGTTCTGTGTTAGGGCGTGGACTTTTGCGGTCCGCGCGGCGTCGGCGGCGGCGGTGCTGTCTTGCGACGACGTTTCGTTGCTCGTGGAAGAGAGTGTCATTTTTTGATGGTTTTGGGGGGGTGGTGATGGGTGATGATGGAGAGGCGCGGTTGAAGGACTCGATGTTTCGTTTTTTTTTTTGGTGCGGGTTCCACTTGGGCACGCCACGCCGTAGGTTCCACGAAATACTCCGTACATCAATAGAATGATGATTGAATCCTCAGTGCTCTGTTGACTTTATTCCCCGGGCGCTGTGTGTTTTCAACAAGACCCTGCCCGCCTGCCCATCAGTAACTGGTCCCGGGAACAATACGGCCGTTGCAAGATCGGCGGCAGAGATGAAGTGGATATTCAGGAGACGGGACTTAACCCCCATCCGACGGAAGCACATCTAAGCTCATCTTCATCTACCACATCCTTATCCTTGTCACCACAGCCTTGGGACGTCGAAGCTCCGTCGGACTTGCGCTTCACCGACTTCGCCCATGAACGCTCCGCGGAGGCGCCGCCAGGTCTCGGCGGCCTGTGTGAGATGTCGAAAGCGGAAACTGGGAGTATGTGCTGCATCACGATACGCCTCCATCTTCTCCAACTAACCCCCGACCCAGTGCGATCAAGCCCGGCCCTGTGTTCACTGCACCCGCGCGGGCGTGGAATGTGTTCCCCGTCAGGGAGACGCGCAAGAACACCGTCCCTTGCCAACGTCATCCACGCAGCCGGCATCATCACGAAACGATGAAGCCGACAACGCTCCCGCGGACACCACCGTGGTTCTTCCGGAAACCAGTATTGTGGATTTGAGCACCATGGTAAATTCAAAAACAAAAGCCAAAACCCCCCTCGTTTGCTGTATAGTAAATAGAAATTGACATTCCCATCTCAGATCTTTGCCAGGATGCAGCAGGATCGTCACGTGGGCCACGATTCCTCAGCACTGCCAGGCGGACACAAGACTGTCCACGCTCAGCTTCTTCGAGGCCGGCATTGGCGCCAGATTGTCGAGTGGGAGCTGCCGCCCGACGACGTGCTGGAGACGTTTGTCGACCGCTTCTTCGTGTCGGTGGACTGGTTCATGATGGCAAGTTTTTGCCCACGGCCGTGCGGTTGAACAATCCCCGACTAACGCACGTTTGAGCAGGTGTTTCACGAGCAGTCGTTCCGCCAAAGCTACGCCCGCCTCATCGCCTCGCAGCAGGTCTCGTACCACGAGGAAAACTTCCTCTGGCTCAGCATGCTGGTGCTCGGCTTGGGCGCCCACTACTCGTCCGTGTCGCCGTCGGCCAGCACCGCCGGCCTGGACCTCGAGCAGCTGTCCCGGACGCTCCTGGCCAGCATCGAGCTGCGCTTCCTGCAAATCATCGGCTGCTCGACCTTGGAGGCGGTGCAAATCTGCATCCTCCTGGGGAGCTTCCACCTGTTCAACGGCCGGCCCAATGCCGGGCTGGGCATACTGGGCAGCAGCGTCAAGATTGCCCAGGTCATCGGGCTGCACAGAGAGTCCATGTGGAGAGACACGTCCGAGGCCGTTAAGGAAGCGAAGCGGCGTACGTGGTGGGCGTTGGAAGTCTTTGATAAGTGCGCTCAGTCGACCCGCCGCCAACATTTTTTTTGCCTGATACCTTGAATAATCACAAATCACTAACAGCTCGTTCAGATATGCGGCCATTGCGTTCGGGCGGCCGAGCAGCATCGACGACTCCGACTGCCAAGTGGCCATGGTGTCTGCGCTCCCGCTGGGTAATCCGCGCCGTGCCGCCGCAGCCGACACGGACACGGAACCGCTGCTCCTCTATCACCGGTGGAAATTCCCCCTGTACAGAATCATGGGCCCGTTTCTCGGCCGCCGGCTGCAGACGAAGCGCCTGGAAAACGTCACCTCCATCCACGGCCAGCTGATCCAGTGGCGCGAGAAGCTGCCCGACAGACTGAGGATCGAGTCCTACGCGACCGCCTCCCGGCAGATATCGCTGCTGCAGATGCAGGCCCTCTCCCTGCAGCTGACCTACGACAACCTCCAAATCATCCTGCACCGCAGCGCGGCGTTCCGCGTGGCCGACGGCGGCGCCAGCAGGGTCGACGCCACGAGCATCTCGAGCCCCTTTTCCCACCGGCAGCTCTTCGAGGCCGCCATCCGGACGGCGGACCTGCACCGGTACTCGCACGTGCTGCAGGAGTGCCGCAGGACCCATGCCAACATGCACATTGGCATCACGCTCTTCACCGCCGGCGTCGTCCTGTGTGCCATCTGTCTGTCCCAGCCCATGTCCGAGGTCAGCCAGCGCGCCAAGACGGGCATCATGCACATCATCCGCATCTGCCACGACAACTCGTCGGCGCAGCACCTCGTCTCGGCCCAGTGCGTCAAGATCCTGGAGGGCCTGGTTGCCGTCATCCTGCAGGCTGAAAATCAGCTGATAACGGGGAGACCCTCGGCTCCTCCTGCCGACGAGCTGGCGAGTCGGGCAGAGGCCTCTGGCGGCAGCGAGAGGAGCCGGCCCGTCTCTGATGGACGCGATACGACAGGTCAGTCTACTGTTGTTGGCGGGAGAGGCGCCGCGGGGGTGCTAGATCCTTTACAAGAAGGTGGTGATTCCCGTCTTTGCGTTTTGTCACTGAAACAGAGAGTTTGGTGTTTGTTGCTGACGAGGGATAACTAGTATTTGAGCGCCATGTGCAACGACCTGCTCCCCCGGGAGACGCACAGGGTGATCCGCAGCCAGGCGATGACAGCATGGGGCCGCATCAGACTCGGGGAGCTGAATCGGCCGCTGCCCCGGTGGCCGATCCCGTCGCGGGATTCGACTGGGACGGGGATCTGTCGCTGCTGGTCGACTCTGGCCTTGGCGATGCCAGCCAGTTGTGGCTCTGGGCGGATAACCTCAACTATGACTCGTTTGCGGAGTTCAACGACGCGGGGGGGTAGTACATGAGCTGGCTGGCCGGCGTGGTTGTTGGCTTCCTTGGCCTCTCTTCCGACGATTTCCCCACGGCCGCAACTTTTTGAGCATTCATCTGCGCCGCAAGTAAAGAAGTTGGGCCGTGTTCTGCGCCGCACTGCTTCAGAAATACCCCATGAGTTTCGGCTCGCTTCGCCGCCTAGCTACCGCTTGCGCCATCTACGACAGCCAGCTGGAAATCATCAAGGACACCGAATAAGCATTCACCAGAAGTTGATCACTACTGGGCGCAGCCGATGAGCAGACGATTTAGGGTAATTCGCATCCTACGACTCAGCGAATTTGATATCGAGGAGGTCTGTTCTCACTGACGCGATGTCGTATTAGTCTCGAATATAGGATGAGACAGGTCCATCACATGCGGAGTGTATTGTATTATATTATGATTATTAATATTATATAAAAGCCAAGGAATTTTATCTTCCAACTATACGACCATGATGAAATAACATGTAATTTTGGGCCGGCACTCAATCTTGCCCTGGCAAATGAATAATCCAAACTGCAAAGCCCATATTTCGTTTACAGTGCAACAGCGGCCACCAGGATAGCTCCAGCAACGACAGCGAATGAAACCTGGAAAATTCCAGCCCCGGCAGTAGTAGTAGTCTGAGTAGCAGTAGTTGGCGATGTTGTCGTTGCTCCAGTAGTAGTCGCCCGGGTAGTTGTCGAGGTTTCGGTCTGGGTGCCGGTAGTAGTTGTTGTTTCAGACGCGGAACCAGTCTTGGTTCCAGTCGAGGTTTCGGTCTTCGTAGTCTCGCTCGTGAGAGCACCGGTATGCGGCGTCCCGGTAGTCGTCGTTTCGGTGCCGGTCTTGGTGCCGGTCTTGGTGCCGGTCTCGGTTGTGGTCGCGGCCGCGTGCGAGGTGACACATGCACATAGGGCGCTTCCAGCACTGATTCCCGCGGCCACCTCAGTTCCACCGCACGCGCCGGCGCATCCAGCAGCAAGCCCCTGAATGGCGCTGGACGACTTGGGGTTGCATTGGCCTGGTGACAAGGGGCAGTCAGCGTCCGCGACACACGAGTTCTGTCCAGGGCATCACCAACATTCAAGGTCGGCAGTATCTGTACACCCTGCTTTGGTGGCTGCCTCTTGTGCGCAAGACAACTACACAGCCTGATGGTTAGTCTATGGGAAAGCAGTGGCGGAGAACCATGGGAGGCGGACCACGCAGCGTGGGAACTTGGTCACCAACGAAAGACATGGCGCCTCTGAAGCTGCAGCTGCGAGTGAGCCAAGAGCCGCCAGGCTGATAACGATGGAATTCTTCATTGTTCTTCGGTCTGGAATAGGGGCGTCTACAGAAGGAATAACGACTGTCTTGCTCGGGAGAGAGTCCGGGAACACTGAGCAAAGGCGTGAGCCACCCAATATATGTCCCCATGGCTACCATGGCGAGACGACAGGCAGTCAAGCAACTGTGGGCGGACCAAGTCCTTGGGCTGCGATTCGAGGATGCATTCTCCAGACGGCACCATCGGTCAATGAGATTCCCAGTGTGAGGGGGTTGCCTGATGTGTTTGAATAAGCTTCATTTGGCGCTGGATGTAGGTTTCGGTGCGCGTCCTCTGACCTTGACTTCCTAGAGACGATGTTGGATGTATCAACAGGCAGAACTCGGGGTAGAGGGCTACAGAGCAACTTGTAATGTCGTTTGAGATGTGTGCCCTCGCGGAGGTGTAGTCCCGGGCTGGATGTCACTTGGGCCAGCCACCAAACCGAAGCTCCCGGATTCAAGCCGCGCGACGACGACGAGATTCGTCACGACGAAAGTCTGATGCAGCCCCCAGATCCAGAATACGATGCGCTAGTGAAGCCGCTGATGGAAGGGGGGTTATGGGTGATTGGATGCTGCTTCTGCAAAGTTGATTGGCGGATGGCTTGCCGTCGTGGTGGTTGCTTCTTTACCAGTTGACCAAGATGGCTCCTTCCCAGGCAGCGACCTTGGAATCACCTTCCAGGCTTTTGTGTGATTCCTGCACCCACACGGAGCCGTAGGAGCATCTGGGGGCTTTTCTTGGATAGCCAGCCGACGTGGTGGTTGCTCTCGCTTCGTCCGTGAGCCTGTCTCAGACTCTCAATCGAGTCAATCCTAACAACGATGAAAAGTGGCGTCTCAAAGGCCGTTCGGCGTCCGTCCCGCGGGATAGGGCAAGCTGTGTCATTCACCAGTACGAAGGGAAATTCCAAATCCATTGGTTTCTATTCAAAATTTGCCTCTATAAGTGACGGATAAGGGTCAGATTTCAATCCAAGACAGCCACTGGGGTGAAGTATAGGATACTTGGCTAAATTACCAGTTACATGCCGCCAGACTATGAAAGCTAGTGGACTCGTAACACATTTTATTCTGTAGGAAAAGCTATCAAAATCAAGATATAAAGAGCCTTAAACTTCTTAAGGACTCACCTAGGCAGGCATAGTAATAGTCTATTCTGACCCCTAAACATTTGTTGCGTATGATAAAATTGGGCAACATTTGCTTCTAGGGTAGTCGACTCCCAGGGTGTTGCTGGGTCGACGTGCACCTCCACGAGCTCAGCTGCATTGGAGAGCTCCAAACCAAAACAACCAGCCCGATTATTGCTCGCCCACCGCACCTACATATGGCTTTTGCTATTCGAGCTACTAAAATTGCTACTATACGTTTGGTACTACTGTTTTTTAGTCGTAGGGACTTGAGACTTTTAGAACTATCTACTCCGTACCTAAGGTAAATAAATAATACTATGACCAGAGTGTCAACTGGACTGGTGATTAAAGAGGTAGATAGTGGGGCCAACAGCACAGCCAGGTAGGTGAGCTATGGTCGCGCGGCAAGCATCCCCAACCACCAGCAGCCACTTCACCTCATCATCACCTTAACACCCATAGCTCACCCCAATCGCCGCATTGCACTCGCCAATTCGCATCGCAATCGCCACAATGCCGCCCTCCGTGGCACAAGACGACGTGGAGCAAGCGCCCGAGGACACAACGTCGACCCAACAACCCGGCGACGTCGAAATGACGGAGGAGCACGAGACCACACGGGCGCCGGAAGTTGAAGAAACGACCAGCAAAGATGAGGAGCCTCCCAGGATGTCATTCATGTCATACCTGTCGTCGCCCATGGTCACACTCGTCGTTGGCTCAGACGAGAATCAAACCCTCCTCACCGCGCATCAGGCGCTGCTCTGCAAAAGCCCCTACTTCCAGGACCTGTGTCAAACGTTTGTGGACGATGGCAGCGTGCGTTTACCCAATTGCCCCCGTCCCTCTCTCCGCAACGACGCCGCGTCAAGTTGCAGCTGACACTGGGGTTAGCCGCGGCAACTTGAACTCCCCGAAGACACCGTCGCCGTCGGCTCCTTCCTGGAATTCCTCTACACGGGCGAATACTTCCCAAGAAAGATCCCCGGGCAGCGCGTTCTCGAACTCGACCCTGCAATGCCAAAGGTTGATGATACAGGCGTACACCTGCTCAAGCACGCGCGGGTGTACACGCTCGCTGAGAAATTCGGCGTGCCCGATTTGAAGAAGCTCTCGTCAAGCAAGATTCACTGCATCGATTCTACGGCCAAGGGCGAGATTGAGTATGCGAAATATGTGTATGCGCACACCACCAACGACGATACAAAGGTTCGCGCGCCAATCGCCAGCTTCTGGGCCACGAGGTCCCATACCCTGCGTGCCGAGGCAGAGAACGAATTCAAGTCCTTGTGCTTGGAGTTTCCTCAGTTTGGTTATGACGTTTTGAGTAAGTGTTTTCTTTCCTTCTTTCTTCTCACCCTTTGTTTCCTGCCCCCAGTAGCGTTTCTGCCTTGGGGGCAGACACGGCGCTTAATGGATCTGCTAACACATTGTTCACAGCCCGCGTTTTGGATGACAAGCTCAGGCGCGAACGAATTGACAAGATGCACCCTGCTACCACGAGCGGCCGCAAGCGCGCACGACACAGCAGCAGCGCCGCTGGGTCGGTGTCTTAGGGCTAGTCAAGGTTATTCTTAGCTTTGGGGGTTTTGCGGTTTTTGGAATTGGAATTTGGAGGTGCGTTTGAATGACTGGGATACGGATACGGTGCAGCGTGGTGCGCTAGTCACGGTCAGCGTTGGGCGCATATGAAGTACATTTAGTTGGGCTAGGGGTTGTTATGTTGTAATATACTCGTGCTCCAGTGGCATCTCTTTATCCAGAATATATGGGTTTTCACTGTTTTCAGAAGAGGGTTGTGCTCAACCTTGCGGCGCGGCGATTCAACGAGTGTATCAAAAGCTGACACATGTAATCTAAAGGGAAGATTTGAAGCATCCGAGACACGTTGAAATGACGTTGATCGGGCGGGATGACTGTTCATGCACTTGCGTTCCTTTTCGTCATGTAGCAATGCTGAGGAGTTACGAACCGTCATGCCATACCCGAAGATCCATTATTATAAGAACTTGTCTCACCAACCCACAGCACGAGCTACAAAGCAAGCGACGGCAAGAACAGGAACAATATTGCGTCCGAAGATGCGGAGAAGGCTATTGAAGACGGACTAGCCCAGAGTGAGGTTTGCAAAGTGGATGAAATGTGAGGCTAATAATAGACTATATGACGTTGATGCGATGGCATTGACGGCATACGCTGCCGCGCTATTTCGTGGGCAGATTGGCAGGGTGCCGAGCTTGAGGGATTTGAGGGACTGCGCGAGCTCAAAAAGAATCAAAACAACAGCCAAAGTAGCTGCATGCATTTGACCCAAAGTCTCGTTTTGACGGGGAAAGCTGCAAGCCACCAGGCAGAGCGGGAAATCCAAGGCAGGCCTGGCGTCAATAGGCAGGTGAATGCAGACATTGCGGTAGTCTATGTAGCGAAAGGCCGAGCACTTTGTCCTTCTCGGGCAATTGGACAATGGACGGGCGAAAGCAGGCCAGAGGCTGCGTCTAAAACCCGGACACGGGTTATGAGAGGAGTTGAAAGAATGTGGTGACACTTTCCGCCAGCGGGACGGATACACCGAGTTTGAGGTGACGGATTGAGGAGAGGGGCTGAACAAGTCAAACAAGGCCGCCATAATGCTCAATGATGCACAGTCAAAACAGCATGTAATTGGTCCAGTTGGGTACGAAAAGGATGACTGGAAACTCGATGCCACGAACGTGGTGTGCGCCAGTGGTGGATGCCTTGCCGAGAGTCCGAAATTGTGGAGCCAACACCTTGGAAGGACTGGAAAGAGGACGCAGGATGGAAAGAGCGCCCAGACCAGGCGGATTGATGCCAACTTGAAAGGACATCTGGAGCTAGTGCCTTGCTTGCGTCCGACCTGGCGACAAATCCGGCCTTTGTGTCTGTGTGTGAACTGCTATCCCGGACTCCTGGGATGGACTCAACTTAGAAAGACTCAAATGTTCAATGTTCAACGTTCAACACTGACGTTGCCATTGGAACTTTGAGAGCCCTGCCAGGTGGTCCATTGTCAATGGCCACAACGCAGGGTCGTACCGTTCGGCAAGCACCACCTGTCGAGTTCGATCGAAGAAAATCTCACAGCCGGGCTGGGGCCTGCCGCCTGGGTCGCCCTCCCACAGCGCCACCGGAATTCGGCATGCAGGCATCAGAATTAGGAGGAGACAATGCCAATCATATGCGCGTCCCGAGAGACAGCAGGCTCCGTTGCGTGCCGGTCGTCATTTTCGGCAGCGACTGACCCAGCCGGCACATGGGAGCCTTTCCAGCCAGCCTCTGCATCTTCAGGGTCGTACGGAGTACGGAGTATCGCCCGGTTCATGCTCCCAACAGAGAAACGAGTCACGATGGCTGTTGACATGTCCCAGATCGCCCTGGTCTAGACATCAGCACCCGCTGGTCTGGAGCCTTATTCCCTGTGGGCAGGGATGGGCGCATCGTGGGGGGCATCGCGACAATGAGTACCCGAGCCGCACGGGGAGTACGGGGCACTATTTGCGAGTATGCGCTCGAGTCGTGATGAACAAAGACCGATTGCCGTTTGGATCGGCTCCCTACATTGGACAGGTCTGCCGCCATGTGCCAACACAGGCGGCCGTGAGTGCAGCCTTGTCCCAACCCGTGGCCGAAAGGGACATGTTGCAATAGCGGAAGACGTGGTTACGTTGTGTTAGTCCAGTTAGTTGTGTGCTACATGACTGGACGCTTTGGCCTGTTCTCATCTCCTTGACGTTGGTCTTGCAGAACAAGCAAAGCCAAGCTTTTTTGGCGAGCCTGAAGCAAAAATCACATTGGACGAAGCTGGGAACCACCGGTGGCATGTGCCGTATTGCAACCTGCGGTGCCGGGATTGGTGACTTCTGGTGATGGGAATAGCCGCTCACATTGTGGCGTCGGCAGTATTTTGGTCTCGGTGCCACTTTTTGTTATCCGCCTTGTGATGAGAAACCTGGGCGACAAAATGGAATTGCTATGGTGATGACGGCAAGTAACGAAAGAAGAGAAGGTAACTATTCGGGAGCATCACGCCGAGGGCTCGTACAGGGCTGCGACTAATCGCTCAGGGCACGTCATCCGGCCGGCAACGGCATGCCGACCGACTGGCACTCTGTAAGGAGGTGGTAAAAGAGGCAATAATCGCTGTTGGACGTCACGCAAACACTAATTCTTGCGAGTTCTCTCCAAAAACAAAAAAAAAAGTCAGCAGTCATTGACAAGCGCGCGAACCACCAAAGATGGCTGGCGTTCCGGCACTGATTGGCAAATGGTGGCTAAATCAATAGATTGGTCCCCTCGTGAGCGACGAGCTAAAATAGTCAGGCCGCACCCGAGGCCCAGGCGGGCTGCACTTGAGAGCTCTCTGTTGGACATCAATTTGATGACTGAAGACTGAAGGGCCAACCTAGCCTGGAGCTGGCCGAGTTACCCGACTGCATTGTACGGAGCAATGGTGCCGAGGGGGGTAGCGAAACAGCCAAAGTGTGGGGCACAGCATGCCGTCTTAGCCGTTCGCGGAGTGCCAGACAGCGCCAGGTGCTAGGTGCCAGGTGCCTGCCAGTGCCAGACCAGTGTCCTTGACATTCCTGGTCTGACTTGACTTGAAGTCTTCAAACGTAGAAATGCACTTGCTCGTCCGCTGTTGCTGTTGGTCTCGTTCTCGGGCTGGCTCCAGTATCTTGCACGAGGACAAGCTAGACGAGCACGAGGCTGAACATCACTGTCGTTGCATCTCCAAGCCTGCCGTTTCCAACTTGGCTTACCTGACGACATAAAGTGGCGGATGAGACATTGAGAGACGACGAGACATCAGTATCTTTGCGAGAGCATCTACAAAGGCAGCAACGCGGAAGGAGAAGTCATCGATCCGCATCAACGTTCGTCAGACCAAACACCGCCAACGTACGTCATCGTCGTCGTCCTTATTGTCGCTACTCTTCTTGCTTTTCCTCCTCCTCCTCTTTGCTACGGCACAACTCTCCATCAAACGAAGCATCCACCCGAGCAAAGCGCCGAAACTGGAAGCACGGGGAAGACTTCGTAGTGCATCAGAGCTGCCCGGCTGCTTTTGAGTGCGTGAGGTGTTGCCGCCGCCATCTGCGAATCGGCCGGTTGACAACACGACACAAGCTGGACAGGGCGGTGGTGGTCGGTTGAGAAGTGCGGGTGACGCCAACAACGGAGGACAACCATCCCGACCAGTCGGGTCAGCCATCATGGCCTCGCCCTCGTTGGCCATGGGCGAGAAGCTGTCTGTTACCACTGCAATTATTGGCCTGTTGGCCGTAGGGGGCAAGACCATCGATGCTCTGTGGGATCTCAACACGCCAGCCAACAAGGCCAACTCAATCTTCGCCACCGCTTTGCAAGAGATCAAGCAGTGCCGGTCGACTGTCCACGTCTTGTACAAGACATTCTCCTTGGTTGAATCAGCACAGCTGCCGTTTCCCGAACGTGGGACATGGATCGAAGCCGACTACCTCATCGCAACAATGACCGATACGGTGCTGGCCGTATCTGACCTGCAAGCCATCTGCGCGACCTTGAACCTGGAAAGGCAGGGACTCGCAACTCCCCCAGCCGAGGATGTCGCTGTGGGCCATGACTACTCCTCGTCTTATGAACAGAGCATCCAGGCCCTATGCTCGCGCATTCGATGGCACAACCTCTCTATGACGATGATGATGACCATCTTAAAATGGTAAGTGGCCTTTCTTTGTCTTTTATAAGTGTCTTAATTGTTCTTGGCAGCCTTGGGCCCTGCATTTAGTGCATATGCCAAGGAAGCCACATCGGGAAGACAACGGGGAATATTAAAAATTGGAGACCGTGGCAGGTTTTGCTTACCAGTTCCATTGTATTTTCTAGTCCAGGCGAATCCGACGCCCAGAATAGCAGAGTGGGTCTGGAGCGGCGAATGACGAGACTCCTCGCAGCAAACACCAACTTGTCTGGTAGGATGCGTCAACTGGAGGACGTGTTTGATGGTCAAGTCGTTGACCGAGAGTTGCTTCCGCACTACAGCCCTCCGGCTCGGCAGCAGGCCTTTTGGGTCCCCCAACGACTTGCATCGTCGGCCGCGTCAATGATCACAAACAGCGCTGGTGGGGATCAGAGATCTGACAACCAAGACACCCTGCGAGTGCTGTCACCTTTCTCCGGCTATACTCTTGCGGACATTCCTGTGCTCTCCATCATTCCTCTACCCGTTACCACTGCCGAGCTGGTTGACGGCAATGAGTTTTACACATTCGCATACGCCCGACGCGTAAGTCGCGATTTGAGCGAATTGATGCAATACCAAGCTGGGCAAGGTACCAGTCAGAGTTTGGGGGTGATCCTGGGCCGGACTAATAATACTAGCATTGATAATGGAGGAAGCACAAGCAGCACAGGAAGCAGCAACGAGAGTGGCCCAGTAGTGGGCGAAGTGCAGCCAGATACCCAGCGCAAGAAATGGCGATTCCGCAGTTTTAGAGTCAAACAACGCTGGCGCTTTCCCTAAGTGGTTCCAATTATCTGCAACGGCTTGGACATAATCACACATCATTTCAAACCGGACTTTTTAACAACTCGAGCATAGCGACATTGATTTTACTTCACTCGTGGCAACATTTTGGACTCTCTTCGACAAGCATGGGCAAAATACTGGTGGCACAAGACCCATTTTTTTCTTTTGGATTAAGGGGATTATTCGCCGTTAAAATGTATGAGGATGCTATTCTGGTAGGGCGATTGGGAAGGAGGTCTTCACAGTAATCCGGGCGATGAGGCTCCCGGATTGGGCATGGCGTACATGGAGGTTTGGCATCGGCAACCACTTGGGTCTCAAGAGAGAATTAGGCGATGAAATGTGACAAGCATTGATGCATAACTGATTTCGTCAAGACTTGAACGCGCGGTGATGTAGCAGGCAGGCAGCCAGGTAAGAGCCACCACGTATTCTACTCGCGTCGAGGCGCCAGCGAAGCGAGGCTACTGTCTGACAATGATCAATCTACTTAGTATGTAATTGCATGATGCGGGGTTGGAGTCTAGCTTGGCACAAAGAATTGCAATCGGCAATACTCCGTAACTCTCACAACTCCAACCTGCCTATTTGGCCTCATACAGGCAGCAATTAATACGGACACAACATGCTGTATAACCTCGTCCAGAGTAACAGCGCTCGCATGTAGAACAAGCGGGGTAACAATAATAACTCACATTTGACAACTATCATCATCATGCTTGACAACCCCTTGGCGGTACGTTTGCGATGTTGTGCTAGCCTCGTTTTTGGCTCCCAAAAAGGCTCGGAAATTGGCTAATAAAATCACCGGAAGCCGACAGGGTTTCATCATGGAGTTTTGTACAACATCAGAATCTTGCAATTTCTCTGGCACGGAATCTCTTGGTTGCGCAATCAGGATGGAACATGCAGTCTCACTGCATACAAGCTGGCAAGTGACCTCACTTGAGAGCAACCACCCGCCCCCTCATCTGTGTGCGTTGACACCACGTCAACGTTTTGGCCTGCAGTAAGCCGGTCTGTATTGGCTCATCCGCAATGGTGGCTGGATGCATCGCTGTGAATTGGCGCCCGGAGTGGCTTGAACCGGTCTAGAATCTAGCAGTCTTACAGACGTGGTTTCACTGCACCGCTACCCGACCTGTTCTCCGACATCCTTCATTAAAAGAAAACTTGTTTGCATTGAAAAGATTTGGAACTTGGTGTTGTGAGACTGGGGGCCGACCGGGAAGCCGAAGTGTATAAATTGTCTCCTCACTGCCCCGGATCCTCAAGGCGAAACCAGCTGACGGATTCTTCCCATATTAGATACCGGGCAACATATGACTTACTCTTAAATCAAGGCCCACCGCTTGCACATGTCAAATCATTGGAGCTATGGGACTAGATTGAGGTGTAAACATAATATACTTTGGTATATGCTTGCTCCTTGCCAGCTCCCTTTTCTATTCGTTTTTTCTTCATTTTTTTTAGGCTTCAAAGTTACTTCAAAGTTCATTCATTACACACTTTCGACCGAAGTTGTACCCGATATATTACGTACCTCATCTATGAAGAAATACCCACGTGGAACAGATGAGAAGCGGCGTGCCAAAATCCGTTCCACTGTCTCAGACGTTGCCTTTCGTCTGCGCTCAGAGAAATAGAGACTTCAAAATCGAGAGCAGCATGGCCAGAAAAGTGGATCTTAATAGATGGTGAAGCTTACATCACCTGTTTTGCACGGCCTTGTTGCAATACTTGTCACAACATGCTGTGCCACTCCACGGCTGCCTGCATGCGCACCGAAATGGTGTCATAGAGGCCCAACTCACCGGCATCTCTGCGCCCAAGAACATATATGTTGAATAGTTGGCCAGCATTCACTGGTCATTGCGAGGCTTTGTCATTGCGAGGCTTTCTGCGAGGTGCTAGACCCTGGTTCCGCAGCACCGCCGACGAGTTTGCTGCTTTCTGAACTCGCTCGGGGACCTCTGGCCTCAAGGTTTTCCGGAGTCATCTCTTGAATAGGACAGTTTCTAAATCAAGGGGAATTACACACGTACGCGAAGAGACGAAGCAGCAGCTTCTTGCGAATGGCATCGCGGAGGTTAAACCGTGGCCACAGGCGAGCATGGACGCTCATGGAGAACGACTACACCTGGCTCCAAGCCAGAGTGCTTAGCCAGCATACCGAACATACAGCCATCACGTATCTCTAGCACAATTGTTCCACTTCCCGGCCGAGGCATGGCGGCACACACAGCCCTGCCGTCTCGGTGCCAGGGATTCATCCACAACGAGTACTTTGCACTCCCCAGTGTATAGCCACGAAGATGCGCCGCCAAATGCTACGATCCCAACCTCTGTATGCCACGTCCAAGCTTCACGACGTGTATAGTGAGGTAAAACTGCAAAATATCCGATGCTCGGTGTCCCATGGCTTTGAACGGGCCCCCCCTAGCTCTCTTGCTCGGTGTATCAAGATGTAAAGGTGGTACTTCGATATACCTGCCATGCTGTCCAACCCCAGGCACCCCGCGAAAATCAGCCCCCGTGGGCAGAACGCTCTTGACTGACGTGGCTCGTCAGTGAATGCCATGGGGATGTCAAGCCTGGGATCAGGTGGTTTTTTGCTCCTGTCTAGGACATGGCAGGGTGGCTGTATCTCCATGTCCTTCTCCCTGGAGAAACCTCCATCTTCAAAACGAACAACGCCAAAATTTTTCCTCGCGAAGCCGTCTAACATATCAGATTCCAAAGCAAATTTCGGCTTTGGGACGTTAAAATCAGAAGTAGCCGTGCAACTCGGCAGATAAGGCTACCATCTCGCAACCACACAGTTTCGTCTTACACCATGGCATCTAATCAGGCAGCTTATAACGGGTGAGAAGGCAAAATCTCACCGCATCACGTATCCGAAATGCTGACACTTTCCCCCTCTCCCCCCTCCCTAGGTCGACGCCCCGTAAGCCTGCTCATACATATACCCAGTACCAGGCTCAAGGGACTACCTCTGACGCCGCGAGTCTACGGGAATACCGCCTCTCTCAGTTTCAAAATGGTCCTTCCGCTACGCCTACCGAGGCGCCTTCGAGCCGCGGGGCTCGTATTTCGCAGCAACTCTACGCGGTCGATGCGGCATTCAAGCGGCGTGCTTGAGAAGGGCGAGGGGGCGGGATGTCGTTGATATCAGGACCCATCCAGGAGTCATTATGGGATAGCACGGCGTTGGGAAGTATGTAAGCTTATCGAATTAGGCGCCCAGGCCACAAACCTCTGGGGATTTAGTTGTCCCGAGGGTATCAAGGGCAGGCACGAAAGCAATCGTACCCGAGGAAGGGCATGTTGGTTGAATTTGACCAGGGCAGGATTATATATGACTGGGACATGTATATTAGGCGTGCGGTGGATGGGTTATTCGCAATCTTCGCTCCATACAAGATGTCAAAATGGGCTGCCGTCCATGGTTGTAAACTGAGGTTCCTCATGTTCCCGTAGCGTGTATTGCCTCTCAAATATACGACTTTCAGAACCCATTTGTCACGCTCGAGCTTCCGGCACTTACGCATTGTGCCTTGCGGCAAATACCTTCCTTCGAGCAGCTTTCGTGACTGATGTGCCTTGCGCTGCTGCCTGCTTGTGCGGGGAAAGCTGTCTGCCTGAGCCTCGTTCCAGGGGCACCAGGTCCTTTTTGCGGACCTAACCTAGACCTTGGTGATGAATATTTTGCCAATATTGCTTGTGCTTGGATCGGAGCTTATGTCGTGGTATTTGCGTCAAGGACTGTAGTTTGCGGGTTTCCTGTATTTGGGGAATATCTCTTGAGCCATGGCACGTGGATGGTTGGTGGTCGTGGCTTGCCAAGACGTGGTGTCTCATATTACGCTGTAGAATGTACTCTGTATGTTTCGTAGCTATGCACGTCGTGGACGGGGGTGTATGGCACAATGATGTTAGTGTGGCCATGCTTGTTGTCTTTATTACACAGGTCGAATACTGGGCAAGCGTTGGATTAGACTATTGTTCATGCCGATGATATACAAAGTGATTTTGGAGAATTGCCAAAAACGGGTTGAAATTGTATATAATGCCAGTCTGGCCCTTTTTTCTCATTCTACTGCTCCTTTACATGTTGGGACTCTTGCGCTTTGGAGATGTTGGCATTTTTATACGTCCTTGCTTACGATGGCGTCGTGTATGTTTTGGGATTCCAAGTGTAGTCCATCCAGGAGCATTCAGCTTGTTGCAAATTTACCCTTTGTGTTGTGATTACGGTCATGTTCTCGAACCGGAATTTGATTTTGCCTGTCCGTCTGGACACCAACTACTGCTCTATATGGTGTCACTTTTGTCATGCGACAAAGGGGCTTCTCAAGTTTGCTTGTGTCAATTATGAATTCAGCAAGTCGCTACAGCTGCTTGAAATCTTCATTTCTATACGTTTCCTCTTGAGATGAACTGAATTCACTTCCAATCACAGTTGAACGCGGAACTTTCATCAAAAGATGGTAGGAATTCGGCTCTGCCAATATCGATGCATGGTGCCAGGCCCTTCTTTCCCCCTCCAAGGGTGGAAAATGAAAGAACAAAAAAATGAAAAGACAAAAGTGTAAACTCAACACTAAGGAGAATGGAGCAGTCGAAAATAATTTGGCTCGGGACATACTTGCCTTTCATCCTTGAGCAACTCCCAGCTGCGAGATATTCCTCCAACAAAGACGAATTTGTTACAACTACCCAGCTTTTCAACGCGCAAGTGAATGAGACGAGAAAGACTCGTCATGACAAGAGGCTCTGTGCGTCAGTTGTGTCTCAGGTGCCTATCGTGGTTTTGCTTGTCAGTCACGGATAGATCATACAAGCCTGACCTGACCTATTCCGTGAGCGCGTTCATGTTCCCAGCATCTCTTTATACTTAGTCCCCAAACAGAATCACCTTGCTCATTTACACTAGAAACACAGTGGATCAGGAACACTAGCAGTTTAATCACAGGATAGAATTCCATCACTAG